GATGTTATAAGATAGGACATCTTTCTACTCTATCTTCGGTGTGCCTTTATCATCAACACCGTACGCCCCAAAACGACTACTTGCGACCTTGCTTGATGGTTGCACGTATAGCAAAATGCTATACGTGGACACTTATGCATCGTACCACTTATGTATCAGACATAAGCATCAAAAATCGAACCAAGAAGCAAGAAAAAAAAAAAAAAAAATGAGATGAGAGAGAGGAGGCACTGATGCATCTAAAATATCAAAAAGGAGAATTAAACAGTTCTCAAAACTCGTATCGAAGAGACTTAAAAAAGTAGGGTTGAAGGTCTTTCCTAACAAACATAAATGGTCACTTTGCGCTAATTTTTCAAACCCCAAAGACGTAGGATTAGTCGAGTCCACCAAATGCTTTTTCAAAATGAGGTTTAAAATTTCCCAATCTTCAAAAGAAAATGATCTTGAGGAAACCACCATTAATATTTCCAAACTCATGCCGAAATCAAAATTCCCCCAACTTTCAGATTAATAAATTGCCTTATACGTCTAATGATCATGAAATCCTCCCGTAGAACCAAATAAATGCTCATGGCCAAGGTTAATAGAATAGAGGAAACAACAACTAAGGCTCTCGGCCAAAGTAACTCAAGACCAAAAGAAACCTACGGCTAAAGGCAAACCCAAGGCACAGGAGCAAAGCAGGCTCACGACTGAGGCAAACCCAAGGCACAGGAGCAGAGGAAGCTCACGTCCGAGGCAAACCCAAGGAACAACAATTGAGGCTCACGGCTAAGGCAAACCCAAATCAATTCCCTACATGTTTTGATATACATAGGAGAGTAAGAATAAGAACCAAAGCCAACAAACCACCTCCGAACCACCTCTCGGGTAAGGGCAAGGCAAAACAAACCGAGCTCTCAACTAGAGCCAAAAAAAATCATAACCAAAGCCATTTTTCGGGTAGGGGCAGAAAAATACACAAGACAGGCCACCCAACAAGCTCTCGGGTAAGAGTTAAAGGCAAGCAAAGCAGACTACCAAAACTCTAGAGTAAAGGCAAGTTTTAAGGAATCAATCATGGGCTCTCGAGTAAGAGCTAAAACAAGCAAACCAAGCTCTCAAGTCAAGCCAAGACCGAACCACAACTAATGTTCGAATTCGGGTTACAACAAAATAGTTGAAAACATTTCCATACCCCTGAGACATCAAAATATAGAACCAACACAGCCTTACACAAGAACAACTACAGAGTTCTTCCGAATCAACATAATCAACACCACCACACGTATATTTGAGCCAAGACACCAGTGGGATGCCAAAATCGAGCCCAGCAGGGGCCAAAACCGAGCCCAGCAGTATTAAAATCCAGGCCTCCATATAGGATAGAGCTCTAGTCATTTCAATCCAAAACCGAGACTCCAAACCGAGCAAAAACCGAGCCCAACAAGAACCAAAAGCCAAAACAGAGCTCAACAAGGCTAAAACAGGACCCAAACATTGATATAAATTCAGGCTTTAATAGAAATTAAAGTTCCAGCCACCTGAAGGTAAAACCAAGCCATCGAAAGCCAAGAAACAACCTACATGTCTAAATATTCCAATCATACAACGATTCCAACAGATTTTTTAGCAGGGGAGATGCCTCACGAGGAGCTAAACCAAGCCATCAAAACAAGATACAAAGCTTTCCAGATTAAATAAATTTCCTCCTAACATGCATTTCAAGTAAGGGAAAGCCATGAGATACCGAAACCACAACCCCTAACATGCATGAAAGGCCAAATAGATTCTTCAATATCTCATGCTAAACGAAAGATAAACAAAAAGTTTCACAATACACATCCCAACATGCTTGCAAGAGGTGTATAAATTTTTCCAAAGTCATGCTTTAATTATCCAAATCGCTGCCAACATAAACATGATATGATAAATAGAAAACATGTCATATATCCACCGCTTTAAGCAAATATCCAAGTCTAATTTCTAACACATGCTCACATTTCATCCTTCACATGCGAATATCTCAAAAATATATGAAAGTAAACTAGCATGCTGTACCATCCAACAGGGCCATGCTCAAAGGCTCGGCAGAGAGAAAACCGAAAGGAAACAAGGCACTGGGAAGGGGGGGGGGAGAAGAGTACCTTCCTTTGACGCAAATGTAAAGCACCGCAAAACCAGAAACCACCCCAAGGAGATGCTCTCACAGAAATCTCCTCCTAAACTCCTCCTACAGCCAAAAATCTCTACTCTCCTCTTTAGAAAACTTTTCCAACAACCCCTAAAATTCCAAAAGAACCTATGTTTATAGGCAGAGAAGAGAGGAGAAGAGAAATAAGATCACCCCACCACCCACGGTACTCGACTCGGGCCAAAAAGAAAAAAGCTGCATTCCCTGCTCACAGAAGGCGGAGCAGCTGAAACATCCAGGACCAAGTGGCGAGCCTGTGGCAGCGAGGAAAATATAGGGAAGAAGAGAGAATTTGCCATTCAAGTGTACCAGGGAGCAAGCTTTAGGAGTCAGCTTCCCAGAGTCAAACTACCAAGAAAAGAAAAACCACAGCTTGAAGAGACTGGCAACACAGCTTCAGGAAGGAGGGCCGCGGGCAGAAAGTGTCGGGCAAGGACGAATGAGAAGTCAACTCTCTCTCGCGTGGAGGAGGAGCTCGGTTGGCTCGAGACCGAGAAAGAGAAAGGCCAGGCACGCGAACGAGAGAGGGAAGGGAGGCAGAGCTTGGGTGCGTGAGTTTAGGGATTTAGGGCTTAAAGAGGAAAGGGAGAATTTGGTTTATATAAATAAATAAATATATATGTATATGTATATATGCGATTTACTCACGCGCGGCGTCGTAACAAAATGGGTGTCCTTGCTAGGCAAAATCGACGTTCCGGACGCGTCGACGCAGTCCGTTTTGTCATCCGGGGTCGCTCGGATGACGTCGTCGACAATCGGGTCAAAAACACGTCAAAATTCAAATTTCACAAAATTTCAACCCTCGATCAATAGTCTCAAAAATTTTATTCGAGTCTTCGACAGACAACGCTGCAGGCAATGTGGATTGTAGCAATCGGACGCGTCGACTCTCCGAATTGCAAGATTTATGCGCGCGGGAGCGCGAATTGTGCAGAAAGCCACCTTAAGACTCAAAAGGTCTTATAAGAATTTCTTTTGGGTTTCCTCATGTTGGTTTCACCCTTCTAAGTGCTAGAAGTCGATACCACACACGCGAAACTCCAAAAGAGTACAGAAATAAGTTGAATTTCTAAAATGAGGTAGGTCCCATTTCTAAGGTTCTAAGATAGTCAAAGGGAGATCCCTAAGGCTATATCCTAAACCCTAAGAGAAAGACTAGACCTCACTAAAAATGAGGTCAACAGTGAGTTGCGTGATGTTGTATTATTTTGAATTGGTGGATACTGCAGTAGGTGTTGAAGAGGCCAATAAAAGGATCTGGCTCAAAAATAGCAAAGAGGGATGTGGCTGTAGAAATTTCAGCAGAAGGATCTGGCTGAAATTGCAGGGAAGTCCAACAAAAATTGCTGAAGTATCTAATTGGTAGTATAGGGATTTGGTTGGTAGAAAGGAGAAGTTCGGCTCTAGGAAAGGAAGTTCGACCACTGGAGGTGGGAAGTTCAGAATTTCTGCATCAGAAGGAGGGCTGAAGTTCAGAATTTCTGCAGCAAAAAGGATGTACGACAACTGTGGTTTGATCTAAGGTTCTGATATTATGTAGAAATTATTTGGGGAGGAAAAATTGCTTCTTTTATTACTCACAAATAAGGTACATATTTATAGAGAAACCAGTCCCCCTTATTTAGAAACTTATCAAACATATCTCACCTAAATTATGAAATTAAATAATTCCGAATAAAAAATGAAAAAATATAAAATAGGATGGTAATAAACTAAATCAAAGGTTTCCTAAGATATCCCAATAAAATCCTCCAAGATTTGGAAGTGGAGGCCGGCCCAAATGAGAGATAAATATGGAACGAAGATTTGCACATTGACTATTACTCATCTTTGTCAGACAATTATATCAAGTTTGGTATATTTTTCAAACTTAAAAGTTGAATTATTGGAATCATAAGCAGTTGTGAGTTTCACAAGTGGGGCAGTCAACTTGACAAGCCTTCAATCAATTAAAAATAAAACATTTGTTCAAACACTAAAATTGTCAAGTTTCGTGAAGACATATTGTATCACCAAGATTGTCAAGGGGGATGCATTAACATAAATTTTAGCAAATCCCAACCACAACCTTCAATGCTAGATTGGTTACTTCTTGATATCCATTCATTTAACTATCAATCAACCAAGTTCTTCTTTGGTTTCTCGCTTTTTGAAACTTTGGACTTATAATTACATACTATCTTTATTTGTCATCATATACTCATTGAAGGATAAACCTTTGGATTATTAAAACCATCAAGTGAAACTGTATTTTGTTTTCTTTAATTGGAAAATAATTTTACGCTGTTTGAGCCTGACTTGATTTTGATTATCCTCTTGATTTTAGTGTCAAGGACTGAAGATTTTTTCTAGCAAATATCAAGTTTTCAAGCTTAACCAAATGGCATTACGAACTGTCTTTAGTTTGTTATCCCCTGAAGGATGGCCAAAATTTGTCCAATAACATCAACTTAATCACACGTTAAAAAACTGAGCTGGAGCTGCTCAAAGGTTTGGTAACAGCCCAGCATACGTAAGTTTCGATAGGCATTATATCCATGGCATAATTGCTGTTTTGGATTCGTTTGTTTTGCAACTTGTGTCTTCTGTCTTAGCTTTTGCAGTTTACTAACTGTAAATCATTTACTGTTCATTGTTTCTTGTATGTCCATTGTCTTGTAAGTTTCAGTTTATACTATTTGGTAGAAATTATGTGAAGTCTATGTTGTTTATGCAACTATTTCTCCTCTTGTTCCTCTTATATACTGAATAATTTCAATTTTTTATATCACTCTACATTAAATTTGCAGCAGTCTGCTGACTTAGTCTTTTATCTATCAAGTACCACCCAGATGTCAACAAGCAGCCTGGAGCAACTGAAAAATTCAAGGAGATAAGCACTGCTTATGAGGTAGTACCGATTTATGCTCTTGTATTTTAAACCTGTTATACACTGCCTTAGATGGTTGCAATTTCAATGGTGCTACATTGATCTTATTTTTATTTTAAGATAGATATATATATATGTTTTGCCAATATATATGTATATATATATATATATAAAGAGAGAGAGAGAGAGTGATATGCACTCTTATCATCACATCCGATCACATAAATTAATATGGGCTAGGTACTAGCATCATTGATGCAATTATCTAAGAAACAGTCTGCGACCCCTTACCCAATAATTTGAAAGGTGGTCCCAGCGTCTTCCTCTCTTTTTCCTGTTATTTCCTCACCCCCATGAATTAGCCTTGAGATGTTCGGTCTTGTTGTACTGAATGTATCACATGAGCAGTTGAATTCCTCTCTCTCTTTCTGCCTTTTTAACATGTTACAAACAATGGCTCACGGAGATCAATGTTGTTCTTCAGTTATTTTTTTGTGGTAACTAGAATATCAAATTTTATATTTAGATTGGTACTGGAGTTAATCCAAACCACAACGGAAAAACAAACATTCTTTATCGAAGCAAATAAGTGGTTACAAGATGACAACGGAAAGGAAATACAATAATAAACATACAACACAAACAAACACAACTAGAGTGTATCCCAAGAGTGGTGACAAGTGAAAGATGTTGTGAGTCATCCATCAGTGCGACCGGGAAGGGAAGGGGAGTGTTGGTCGCCTGTAGGGAGAAGTTTGGGGGTTGTGGATTGTGGTTTAGAGGTTGTACAAGGCTGGGGCAGCGATTAGGTGGCAAGGAACTGATTGTAGGAGAACAACGAGGATGCGTGGAATGGGATTCCGTGAGGCTGGGCCAGTAGAGAGGTGGCAGGAGAGGGGTTGGTTGGGTGTTGGAAGGCGATGGTGAGGGATGGCAACAAGGTGAGAGGTAGCTAGGTGGTAGGCGGTTGCAGAAAAACAACTAGGAGGGTGTTTGCCAAGTGGCTGCAGTGAAAAGTGATGGCGGCGACTAAGGGAAGGGTGGTGGGCTGCGAGTCAACAAAGCGAGGGCTGTTTGGGGGTTGCGACAGTGAAAGGGATGGTTGGAAAGGGGTTGCAGAGGAGTTGAATGGGATAAATATCCTTGCTGGATCCAGCTACAGTTGGAGCACCACTCGAGCCCTTAGAGAAGGTCACCAACTCGGACGAGTTACAGCCTGAGCACCTTCTTGCCTTTGGATACAACCTTAGAAGGGCAACACCAGAGGCTTTCCTGACAGAAATCTGAGCCAAAAACTGCCAACCTAAAATAAAGGAACCACATAAATAAGCCATAGATACTTAGGATTTAACCCCCCTATGGAAAGGAGGCGTCAATCCCTCATGGGAGAGCTGATCGGCTCATCGGGTTTGTATCGGTTCGGTCCATATGAAAAAAACATCATAGAAGTAGCTTGCGGCTCCCTTTGTGCTACGCCCACGACATTATTGGCATGCTCGTGTCTGTCATGCGGAAGCTCCTGCGTCGTAGATGTTACTTCCATTATAACTTGAATCAAAGTTATATTGTGTCGGTCATTTTATTGAGTGTTATTAACTTGTTGGGGGAGAAGCGAACTTTTGTTTATTGGATTTAACTTAATGTTCCAAGGATTTTGTTCTGTGATCTTAGTCAGCATTCATCTGTTCATGTATAAAAATCAGAGCTAGTCGGCGAGATGATTCACAAACAGAGAGAACTCATTTTGGATGAGGAGTAATTATAAATGTTATATTAGAAACATATGCATTAGAGGAATGGGAAATAGGGAACGATGAGTGCATCCATATTTGGAAGAATAAAAAGAGGGTGTAAAGGGGTCATCCTACTGAATATTCCTACAACTTTCCTTTAAGATTTTGTTATTTTCGTTTTAATTAGTTTGTTGATTATTTAACTGATATATACATTGAAATTTAGGGTTGAAGGCAAAAATGATTCCATCTAATCAATAAAACTAAAATTCTATACATTCTCGTGTATGTTTATGTGTGTAACATGCATAGATTTATGTAAGGTAAATTAGTGAATTACACAATTCCCTTGAGGTACGAAAGGCACTTCATGTTCCCATGTTTTAAATGCCATTCATTATGTTCCTATCACCTTTTAAATGCATAAGTTGGACTCCCAGCTAAATTCTAAGCTTTCATGAAGGTTCTTTTCTTTTCTAAGATTAACTTTTTTGTTAAATTTAGTCACACAAGTTAACTTGTATGAATTGCAAATTTTCAAATTCTAATTTCTGATGAAAGTACTTGACTCCAAAAAAGCAAGCTAGAGTTTGAGAAAAGAAAAAAAAAGCGGTAGGATTTCTCAATATTTCCAAGCAATGTTCCTCCATGAATTGTTAATGCAATAAATAACATTACATGCCTTTGACCTGTACTTGGCATTCTTTTTTCAGTCACTGAAAACAGCGCACCCAGCTACTTAGCTGGCAGATTTTTTCAACCTGGGCTTCTTTGTAGTTGTTTTCTTTGAGCACTATTTTTATTTCCACGGAACTAGAGGGAGAGATTAAAGGAAGAACTGAAGAGGGATAGGCAGCAAAGCAAGGTTTCTTGACTTTCACAACATGAAAGTATGTGTAAAGTGTATAATATTTTGTTCTTTAGTGATGTTTTTTTTAACAGAAGGATCAAATGTATTAATTTAAGGGCCATTAAGAACATGGTGAAATGCACATTGCCGTTATACTTAAAGGAATATGCATGTAGTTAAGCCATGCATATATAATTGTTTCTGGTGGTTGATAAATTGGAAATTTTATGGCAATTTTTACCTAGATCACATCATCGGTTTCAGCTTATTCTATTCAAGTTTTGTTTGAGGTGAAGGTTAATGACCTGCTACAGTACACAATCAGTCTAAGTGGTCTGTGTATGTGTTATTCCATGATTTTCTTTGCCTTGTTAAAGGCTGAACCGGAGTAGCTTGTTAACTGTTGATTAATGAACATCCAAATAGCTGGTTGGCTATCAAAATAAGATCCTTAGTTTTTATTGAAACAGTACTAACTGCAATGAATTCCTTTGTCCTTTGTAGTGCAAATGACATCCTTTTTAAATCTTTCCGTGTACATGTGGTGTGCAAACAGTTTTAGCCATTACCATTTTAACCTTGTTTTTTGATAAATATTTTACTTCCCCTTCAATCCTAAAGACATTTGTCCTCACTAACTGCTTCAGTTTGATGTTTAAATCTTTTACTACTGTTAGAAGAACGGTTTAGTTGATTCTTTCTAACTCAACTTGATTGGAAAGATTCATGCATACATACAAACATAAATATAATCATGCATACATTTTTTAGGAAAGCCTGAAAGGTGCCCAAATGAACTTGATATAAATTACAAGCTTGGTACTAACTTTTTAGTGTAGCAGCAAATCACGTAACACATGATATGCCATACCGTTTAATTGTCCATTGTGGAAGATGGAACAATTGATGACTTGTCTCCCAAAGTAGAATCCATATGACCATGCTCCCGCTGATAAATAATTATTAGCATTTTGCTGGTGCCCTTTAAAATCCTATTCATAACCCCTCCAACAAAGAGTAGGGATTGCCACTTGACCATAAATAAGAGATCAATACTTGATCACTTAACGGAACTTTTGAGTGCTAGAGGTGTTGCTTGTCATGCTCGAGTGCTGGACGGAAGTTCTATCTTCGTCCAGGATAATGAGCATTAAGAAGTTTCCTTCCAGGCTTTCTAGTTCTTTATCATTTGAAGCGTATGAGTGGGGTATACTTAAAGACATTGACCGGTAGATATAGGATATCTGACAACATGCAATATGTTGCCTTGGGAGGACCAACTGATAGTATATAGCTTGTCTAGACTCTAACTCCAATTGCTCCCAAGTAATCGATAGGTGGTGAAAGTATGGTCTATTTTCTACAGACTAACATTGTGAGGTACAATGAATATGAATGCTAAATAAACCACATATATTTAAGAACTCTAATGCTCAATACACATTACAACATGATCGATCAAAATAAAGAGACTTAGCTTAGGCTGATGACCGATTGCTTGACATGCTGCACACTTTCCCAAATACATAGGATAAGTCTCCATAATCTTTATTTGATAATTATAATCCACATGTTGACCTACTCGGCTACTCACACCCGAGTTTCTCATTCTCAACATTCAGTGGTAATTTTATAGAAGAAATGCGGTTTACCAACTACGGTTTAGACTAATGACTCAGCAACTGGATGTCTGTCACATATTGTTTGGGAGACCATGGCGGTTCGAACACAAGATTTAGTATGATGGGTTCAAGAACAACTACTCATTCATGAAGAATGAAAAACACAATTCTCTAGCCCATCAAGGATTTTGTAGGAGCAGATACACACATTGCGAAGAAGACTACGATCTTACGCGCCACCTTTCTATAGTCAGCACGGGAGGCCCCAGTGTTGATCACCTTAATCGTCTTAGAGGAAATTGAGGAGATTGAGCCACCATAGATGATCCAGCCACTGCTAGTCGGCTTTGAAGATGTGATGATTGACAAATTACCCGAGTGTCTACCACCACTTTTGAGACATTCAACCTACTATAGATCTTAACACTAGGTCGATGTTGCCTAACCAGTCTGCTTAAAGATTGAGACCAGAGTATGAGGAGCTGTAACGATTATTGTAAAACCTTATTGCTAGACGGTTGGTGAGGGAGAGCATCAATCTACATGTTGTTCCTATCTTGATGATGCTTAAGAAGGATGGTTCGTGAATAATGTGTATTGATACCCGAGCTATCAATAAGATCATCATCGAATACAGCTTTTTTAATACCTCGCCTCAATGTTTTACTGGATCAGTTCCTGAGATACATCATCTTTTCCAAGTTTGACTCGCACAATAAATTTCACGAGATCAGGATGAAACCAAGGGATGAATGGACGACTACCTTCAAGACCTGAGATGTGCTATACGAGTGGACAACCATGCCCTCTTAACTATCCAGTGCACCTAACACTTTCATGAGGATGATGAATCAGGTATTTCAGGCTTACATTGAAAAGTTTGTGGTTATGTATTTTTTTGGCATTCTCATCTACAACACATCTGAGGAAGAGCACTTGCAACATGTAAGATTGGCCTTTGAGGTTCTGTGATTGGAGAAGTTAAATGCCTACCTGAAGATGTGCCCCTTCATGACAACATGAATATGTTTTTCTGGGTTATATTGTATCTGGTACAAACATTCAAATAGATCTTACAAAATAGAGGCTATTGTGAGTTGGACGCTCTCACAATTCTTTATAGAGATGTGGCATTTTTAGGATTGACATCATTTTATAGAAGATTCATTAGGAGCTTTAGCATCATCACAACTCCCCTAACAGAGCTCTTGAAAGACGAGGAATTTTAGTGAACAAAGACAACTCAATCTATCTTTGACATCCGTAAGGAGAAGATGACTTAGGCCTCAATGTAAGCTTTAGCATATTTTAGTCTGTTATTCGAGATGGAATGTGATGCCTCTAATGTAGGGATTGGAGCAGTTTTGATCCTGGGAGGGCACCCCATAGTCTTCTTCAGTAAGTATTCGAAGAGTAAGTATTCGAACTACAATTGGCATCCCAATAAGTTGAATGAGTCCAAGAGTAAGTATTCGAACTACAATTGGCATCCCAATTGCCATAGTGCTATTTATTTGCTTTTCCGTGCTTATTTTTTAGTTTTTGGTGTTTGGTTGTTCGGGACAGCCGCCAACATCTATGGTTTTCCCTTCTAGGGCTGTGTTCAAAGGTCGAGTGGTGTTCTGGCTATATCTCGCTTACGTAGTGGTGATTATCCTCATCTGTCCTTCCTCTGCAGCCCTCCGTTGACTGCCTCTGTTGCTTTCCCTGCTGCAGCCACCCAGAAAACAGTTTTCTTCGGTGTTTCCTGCAGCCGCCAACCACCCCCCTGGCCGCCCTATTGCTGTTTCAGCTCCTGGAATCTGCGCCCTGCCACCTAGCTGCTGTTTCAGCCACCCTGAACCGCCTCCCTGTTTCCCCGCAGCCTAATTACTGTTCCTACATTCCAGAACCAGCCATCTACCCTGATATTGCCTTCCATAACCTGCATTCCACCTTGTTGCCATCCCAAACTGCTAACTGCTGCTTTTTTGACCTGCCTACATGCTGTCCAGCTGCTCTGTACTTGCTGCTGCTCCTAAACTGCAGCCCCGAAAACCCCTTGCTGTTGCTGCTGCTGCCACCAGCACCCATACCATCATTCCAGCCCCTTATCTCCCTTCCACATAACGACCACCACCACCCCTGGATTGACCTCCTAGTATGAGTTTGTGTGCCATGTTATTGTTATTTCTTATTTCCGTTGATGAAGTTGGAAGTACCTATTTGAATTCAACAATAATATTTGGTTTTCCCCTTGTTCTTTGCTTCTCCAGTACCACATATAGTCAGACAAATGTAATTTTTATTTTGATTTTGATTTCTATACTTTTCATTGGATGTGCATTTGTTTGTTTTAGTTGGTTTTTTCATTCCCTCTTCTGCTATTTTAGGTGGGATACTTAAATTTTTAGCAGTAGTTTATTTCCATCTTCTGCAGAATGATTGATTTTCTTATAACGATTGATTTTTTTGTTAGGTATTGTCAGATGAGAAAAAGAGAGCTTTGTATGATCAGTATGGTGAAGCTGGAGTGAAGAGTGCAGTAGGGGGTTCATCAGGAACTTATACGGTATTGCTGACATTCTTAATTGTTGTCCTGCATGATAAATCATCTTTTGGTTAATCACTGCTTAAAATTTCAAACCAAGTCATGTTAACTTGTTTATTGCATGCAGCATTCTTTACATTGCAGCATTACTAAGTAGTTATGGAAGTTTCCTTGATTTATTGATTTTGCTTAATGTTTCATTTAAGTTCTTAATCGTTTGACAATGCAGGCTAATCCTTTTGACCTCTTTGAAACTTTCTTTGGAGCCACTATGGGAGGTTTTTCTGGTATGGACCAAGCTGCTTTCAGAACACAGAGGCGAGGTGCTACTATAAATGGCGAGGATATTCGGTGAGTTACAAATTCCATATGAAATATGAGGATTCTCTATCAAAAATTTTGTTATGCATGAATCCTATAGCTCTCTTGATTGGTTATCGGGTAGCTGCAGCACTGTCGATCAACTTTTTGATTTTAAAAATTGAAAATAGTTTTGGTTTTGAAAGTAGCGTGTTTTAATTTTGAAAAAATGAGACCAAATGAATCTCATTCGTCTAATAGTTTACATAATCGTGCCCGATACCGCGAATACTACACCTTCCCGAAAGATAAGTGTATACATCGGCGATGCGATGATCGGCGATAAACCCAATCCTGCAAACTATGAGATTTGTGACATCCGTTTGGTCTACGAATTTTTTTATGTGTGACCGATAAGTTCCTTTATTTAATATAAAGATTAAATAGAGTTTATTTTACCTGGGTTTCAAGTTCCCTATAGAGGCAAACCCCTGTAGCTAATTACATCTCAAATGACGGGGGTCACTTGAGAAAACTCTCGATAATGATCAGAGTTAATAGTCTTAAAAAATTCGAGGCTTAGGCTTTCACGGTAGGACGTGAAAAAACAAATGAGAGTGGCTCAAGTAGGAACAGTTTTTTCATGAGTCCAAAGGAAAGAGAAGTTAGAGGACGTCACAGATCCTGAGGAGAACCCTCAGTGATTTCCCAAACTATCCTAATGTGTGGCTGCATTTTTAGAGATTATGGTATTTTTGTTATTTAGGTGTTTAATCCTTGATAATTTTATTATTTGAGACTTACATTTGCATAATATACGATTATGCAAATAGCCCGCAGAGATATGAGGGTTTACGTCGTATCATTCGACAATCTCGGAACCTAAGACGAGTTACAACTTACGTTGCACAACAAGGTTACACAGGAGCCGAAAGAGCGTGTGAGGATTTACGTCGTACTGGGCAAGCTACCTTGAAGTCCTATGAGTTGTTATTTAGACTAAGGAAAGAGAGATTAGTGAAGAATATTCTCTTGTTGCTCGATCCAAGCTCCTTGCCATGCTGCCCACAAAGCTGGCTCCAAACTTTTCGTCGAGGTAGCAGTCCTAAAGTCTAAGTTTCAACAGGTTTTACCAAGTGTATTTCAAGGTTTTGGTTTTGTTGTCATTCAAACATTATGAGTGAGGTTAAAGTTGATTAGAGTGACACCGGTTAGGATCCCACGGTTTCCTCGTTCCGGTACCATTTTTTCTTTTGAATTTATTTAGTTTAAGCAAGTTGTTAAGCTCATTTAAACTGGAGAGATCTCGTTAGCAACCGTAGTTTACCTCGTCCGAGGAACCTGTAAATTCAAAAGTACGTGTTATATATTTTTTTGTTTTGAAAATGTTGTTTACGTAGTTTACCTCATCCGAGGAACCTGTAAATTCAAAAGTATGTGTTATATATTTTTTTGTTTTGAAAATGTTGTTTAATTTTTTAAAATTGTTTTGTTTTGAACATGAAATCGCAATCAGTGTCTGCATGATATATTAGAGCAAGAGTAAATTGCAGTAAAAAAATAATAATAAACAAAATGTACCTGTGTATCTGACATATCTGCTGCTGATATCCCTGTTGCGTGTTTAGCTCACAAAACGTGATATATTTTGCAGGGAATTTAAATAAATTGCAGAAAAAAAAGAAAAACAGTAAGCAGCAAAACAAGTTGTAACAACAACTAGGAATTCCAAACGGGTGGTCCTAAGGCTTCCTACAACTCCGGACAGCAACTTGCAAGCTTGTACGGCGATCCTTCGCCTTCTACGGCTCCGGGCAGCAACTAGCAAGCGTGTGCGGCGATTCTATGACCTCCCACGGCTCCGGGAAACAAATAGCAAGGGAGGTATGACTTCCTACGGTTCCGGGCAGCAATATGCAACACCACACAACATTTGTATATCTTCCTACGAATCCAAACAGCAATATGCAACACTACACAACACTTGTATGACTTCCTATGAATCCATACAGCAACATGCAACCTTACACAACAGTTTTAAAGCCTTGAATGACTCCAAACAGCAATGTGCAACACTACACAGCGATTTTAAAGCCTCAAACAACTCCAAACATTAATGTGCAACCTTACACAACAATTTTAAAGCCTCGAGTGACTCCAAACAACAAGTTCAATGCTTCCTACAACACCCAAACATCAATTTTAAGTCATAAGCCACAACCTACAGCAGTCTTAAGCTTCCTGGAGCGCCCAAACAACAATTAAAAAATCCCAAACATCCACATACAACAATTAACAACTCCCAAACAGCCACCTACAGCAATTAACAACTTCAAACAACAATCTACAACTCTCAAACAGCCACCTACAGCTCTCAAACAACCACCTACAACACCAGACAACACTTTCAAGTACTTTCCAGCACTTTCCAACACCCCTAAAGCTACCAAACAACACTTTAGATGCGGCACAAAGCCCCTCAGAAACAGCAGTACAATCCGAGAAGCAACAACAACACAAATATAGTTGAACAGGTCTGATCATAGGCTAAAATCATAGGCTAAAAGCAGGTCTGATCATAGGCTAAAAGGTGCAATCAATTAGAAAAGTAAGAGAATTCAATTTTATTTTCTGTAAATTCTTCCACCCCAAGTAGCAAACTTTATTTAGATCCCCCCTAAAGCACTCAGGCTTCGAAAAATGAAACCACTCCTTAGAAGGAATGAAGTTAATTCTTGCATGGTTTAAACGGAAACAGAAAAAAAACAAATGGCAATTAAATACAGACCACTTAATTCTCATGAAACAAATGGCAATTAAATACAAACCACTTAATTCTCATGAATTTACATGTCATCACCAAAACAACGATTTTTACTTACATAACAACTTACCTATGCATGAACATGCGTATTTCACTTTCTTGAAAGTTAAAATGGTGATATTTGTTATGTGCTAGGAAGGATTTGAGTGTTATTTGTGTAAAAATTGAAGTTTGGGTGTTAGATATGTAAATACATAAAAGTTAAGTGGCATGTATGTGTACCTTCTTTTCCCTTCATAAGTTACAGCCAGTCAATTACGGTAATAAAATAGCAAAAAAAATGCATGGCAGAAGCAAAGCAGATGCGCTAGAATTGGAACAAAGACAAGTTTCAGTAACTTGGTAAGCAGAGAAATTTAATTGCATACTTTGAAGTCCAAGAAGGGGAAGATGCAGAAAAGCTGCTCGTGCCGAAGTAGGAAGGGGGAAGAAGCATACCTTTGCGAATGGGAGGGAGCTTGCAGTTAGCTGGATAAAAAGCGGTGGGTTCGCCAGCTGCTGGTGGAAGATGTCGTCGGAGGTAGATCGTGAGTTGAGAAGCAGGGAGCTCGCAAGGATTTCGGGTGTAGAGAGGAGAAGCAAGCAAAATCTGTCGCGAGGGAGTGAGGCGCGACTGTGGGAGGGAGTCAAGCTGGGATGAGTCTCGAGCGGGTGAGCTGAACGAGTGAGGGTTTCGGTTGCAGAGGAGGCCTTCAGTCAAGAGAGGAGTTTTGTTGAGAGAGTGGAGGCGCAGGCGGGGGATTTTTTTTTTGGTCGATGAGAGAGGAGGCGAGCGGGGGGTCTCTGTGCTGAGGTGAAGAGGCGAGCGGGATCGAGAGGGAGTTGAGTGGTTTGGTCTCGGTGCAGAGAGGAGAGCAGACAGGAAGACGAGTGGCTTCGGTGTCGAGAGAAAGGGGATGTGGCGATATTTTGTGCAGAGGGAGGAGGCGAGCGTTTTTGGCGTAGAGGGAGGAGGCAAGCGTCTCTGCGCGGAAGGAGGCAAGCGTCTCTGCGCGGAAGGAGGCAAGTAGGAGAGAGGAACTCGGATCGCAGAGGGGGAGCAGGGCCTAGCGTTTGCTTTGTCGCGCGTGAGAGGGAGGAGGCGAGCGTATTTGGCGCAGAAGGGGAGTGGGGACCGAACAGAGGAGGAGCGGGTGAGGCGAGCAGGAGAGCCAAATCCATGAAAGGAGAAACCCCGAGCAAGATTTGTATCCCTCAATTTCGAAATAGTCGTTAAGCTTGCGTTGGGCGGGGAATTGAATGATTTCCATAGAGAGGAGTTTTATTTGGCTGGTAATAACTTTCAAATGAATTTAATTAGGGTGAAATTAAATGACTTAAAATTCAAAAATATAAAATTTAAAACCGTTTAACCCTTGTTCAACCCGAGTCCAACCCGAATCGAATCCGATTTGAACCTGGGTTGAGCCTGAGCCCGCGCCTTGGTAATAAAAAAAACGTGCATCGATTTTTGTGTTAATTGCTTGCGCGTGGAACTATTGCAATATGGGTGTCCTTCCTAGTTAAAATTGACGTTCTGGATGCGCTAACGCGGTCCATTTCGTCATCCGGGGTCGTCCAGACGAGTTCGCCGACGAGCAAGTCAATTCAAGTCAACATCGTGCGTGGTGCAGTGAGTGCGTAAATTACGGCGTTCGCGAGTGTTAAGAGTCATAAATGGTTTGCCTAAGGCCGTTTGATCCTGTAGGAACTCATTTTCGGGCCCTCTTCATGTTAGTCCTTAGTCTTTGCAACTAAAAATCAGGTGTTTGGGACTAACAATGCGAGGTCTTCACAAAAATGAGTCAAGAAGTGGTTTGAAGTTCTATGGGAGGTAGGCTTCATTACTAGTCCGCTAGGATGGTCAATAAGGAACTCCTAAAGCTAGATCCTGAGTTCTAGGAGTAGGAGGCTAAGAACTCACAGAAAATGCGGTCAACAAGCACATCACATGGTGTGATAGTTGCAGCTATGCGATTTATGCATCACTTTGCTTTTTTTATGCTTAAACTTGTTTTGTTGAACTTTTTGTTCACCTTTCGATATTTTTATGACTATGTTAATGAGATGAATCTGAGTATTACTGTGATGCTTGCCTATCTAAGAACGGAGTGTGGGAGGAAAGGTGGGATGCAGAGTTTAACCCAATCTTGGTGATGAGGTTTTGAGGGAGGGAAATTATTAAAACCAAGTGTTTTTTTGGAAAAGAAAGAGCAATAAAATGGAATATAACAACATACAGTATATGAGAAAATTCTGATCTGTCTTGGCATGTTTTCATTTATCTTTAGTGCATAGAACTTACTGAAATTGGGATCTGCATTTTTCTTGGAGCAGAAGTCATGCTCTTCCAACGTGATAGAAACTTTTACCAAGGGTTGCATCTGTCTGTCACTTGAACTTGAGTTCAGCTCCAAGTTAATTTGCTTTCTTGTTGATTAGTCATAGTAAGTTAACCTTGGTTTAGGGTTGTTTGACACGTACTTTGGTCCCTGTAATTTTCATAAACGCCTGCTTAGGTCTAGTTTTTAATTGAAAATAAATAATTGGTTCCGTTAAGCACAAGTGATGCGGGTTTTTGTTATACGTTATAAATGTTTTTCAACACCACAACACACAAGACAGCTACACAGAATAATATGCAAACTAACCTCAATAAAATTTACTTCAGTATAATAAGTTTTCTCTTTTAAAATATCTAAGTTGCCACTCCTGGTTAATTAAGGTTGACTTTCAATTTCAAATCGTCACTAGGTTGTAAATGCAAGTATATGTATCGCTCAAATAATAAAGGACTAATAGTCTTGAGTATCCATCCCAGGGAAGTAAAAATTTGTTTAGAAAATCACGCAAAAGCATAATATTTAAACTATATAAAACATAAGTAAGAAAACAGGTCGAAATTTGTTTAATGTTGTTAAAGAAACTAAGTTTATTACACTAATCTCTAAACTTAAAATATAAATTTTCTAAAATTAAACTAGGTTTTGTGACGAAGAGTTCAAATTTAAGAAATCATCATTCTCCTTACAATGAGATTATAGTCAGTGGATCATCAAATTGAAGAAAATTGTATTGTGTCAAATATGAGCAATTATATTCTTTATCCTTTTTAGAATTGATAAATAACATTGACTAATCTAGTGTTTAGTCCCTAAATCCGCGATTATGCTGAGAAGATACTGACTCTTACTCCAGAATTCCCACGTTCCCCTCGTTTGAAGGCTAACATCTCGCTTTAGTTTCCGAACGCCTAGACTAAATTGAGGAATTTAATCCGCCACTCTAAAATCTCTAATTCTACGCTCATCAATGAATATATTCCTATTTATTTACCCTCAACCTCATGACTCAACCTCATGTACTACATTCTCATCCATGAAATTGAATGTGACCTCAACCTCATGTACTACATCTCATCCATGAAATTGAATGTGATTCTTTGTTGTGGAAAACATATTCCTTTCAGATCGTATGTTTCACAACAAATTTTAACAATTCAATTGGCCAAATCGAAAAGTAAATAAAGTTCGAAGTTTGAATCATCACAAATATGAAATTAAAATATTGCACAACAATCTTGATTCTTCACATGATCATTTCTCTTTGTAGGGAGAATGACAAAGAATTCTACTCAGAATTCATGAAGATGATGCAACAAAATATGGATTATATATATGAAAACAACTTTACAAAACATGAAAAAAAATTGAAACAACTTAACTCGATCTCTTCCCCAAGCAATTCCTTGAAGTTCCTTTGAATCTCTTTCTCTCTTTACAATAACACTCAAATCTCTCTTAGAAATGTAAGGAAGAAGAATCTCTCATTTTCCCTCTCCTCTTACAAGTCTTAGAGACACTTGCAACACTTCACCAACTTAGATATCACGCCTCACTCACTAACAATAAACACAGACCACCTTTTCTGACATAAAAACACTCTTTTATTATGCAGGGACGAATTTCCCAAGAGTCTCCATCGGCACCTCTTCAAAATCCATCAAAATTCAACGCATTTGTGAAAATAATCGTCTCTGGCGCCAGTTCAATTTTTTAGAAAATGCCACTCTTGGCTCCAAATTTCGTACTATTTGCATCCTTTAAGCTCCAAATGCCTAGACTTAGTATATCTGCAAGAAAACATGTAAATACATTTCTTTAAAGTGCAATATCACCTCATATAATCTTTAAATACATATGAAAAAATGATTATTTTATTGGTGTATCAACAAGCAAAATGAAGAAATTACCCGGAATAAAATATATATATTGGATGAACTTATTCCTCTTATGCTAGCTATCATGGCATTGTAGAAGATGGTTTGCTATCATCTATGATATCAAATAACAAACTTAACCTGAATTTTTTATACAACTTTATAGCACTAGAGATCCTCTCCATGCCACATTGGCGAGCAAGGCTCCCTGATGCAAACAACGATGTCCTGCCAAAAGGAACCTCCTATTGTATGCAGTATTATTGCCCTTCCCAGCTCGCCAGAGTTTGAAATACTAATGTATTGGTTTTGGAATGATGATTCTCACTCCATTGTGCCGAAACATTAACTAAGTTAAGGGTTAATCCTTTCAGCCCACCTCCCAAAATTTGGATGTCTGAGGTGCAGCTCAACTTCTTTTCATCGTTCTTTATTTTTAATTTTGTATAGGGACTTCTCTGCAATTGAATAATGCTTTTGACTGATTAGCTAATTCACCATACATCCCGTCTAATTATTTGTTACTGGTGTTTTGTGGTGTAAATTTTTTGAATTGAAAGAAGCTCATTTGGGATTTTGAAGTATGAAAATTATCTTTTGATTATTATGTCTAGTTAAATTTTTTTACTTGTTCAAATTTCAATGCAATTCCAATCGGTTGAAGTCACTTAGGTATCTATGCATGATCTGAAGTTTTCTTTCTTTGGATGTTGCCCCCGCACCAACCCTGCACCCCCAGCCCCCTCCCCCAAATCTCTCGTGTCCCACTTTAGTGTTTATTTTTGTTCGTATTCTCTTTGATGGGGATCCAATATTGAGCTCTTAGTAAATCCCAGTCATCCAGATTGATATTCTGAAATTTCAGTACAATTTATCAGGCGAATTTGCATACAACTTCTAATCCTGAATAATTTTCTTAATTTTTAGAATAGCAGATGCTTCTTCTGTTTTGAGCTGTATGCTCTCTAGTTGGATACTTCTGGACATGCTTACATCTTTTGGAATAACATTTATATAATTTATTGGTGGCTCATTCTTGTATTTGAACGATTTTAAGTACTTTATATGTTAAAGATGCTACCTTAGTTTTATTCATCATTTCTGTTGTAAATGAGGCACGTCTTGTTTTGAGATTTTGTAGTTGGTGATTCAATGTATTTTGTCTGCAGATATGATATGATTTTGGAGTTTTCAGAGGCCATATTTGGAGCAGAAAAAGAAATTGAGCTGTCTCATTTGGAGACCTGTGATGCATGTGCTGGTACTGGATCTAAAATTGGCTCCAAATTGAGAATATGTTCGACCTGTGGTGGAAGAGGCCAAGTAATGCGAACTGAGCAGACACCCTTTGGCTTGTTTTCTCAGGTTTGTTGCTGATGCCTGTGTTTTCTGTTAAAAGAACATCACAATTATATTTCTTGATAATTGATGCCCTTGTATTTAAGTTTTCCTTAGATTAAAACATGTTACTATGCTTTAAAAATTTTGTTAGAAAGACCAGCTGACACTATTTTAGGGCTCTTAGAAGGCGGTTAAGAGATGGATATAGCAGGGTGGTGATTGTGGAATAACAATATTTGGAAGTGGATGGTAAGTGTTTGGCGGCTTTTCGGGCTCAAAACAGCTGAGAGAACCTAGAGGAGTCAGCTTTGACAAGGCACAATTGCCGAGGGAGATCTGCCGCTTGTTCGTGTATGAGCTACAATAACACTACTAGCAAATGAAAAATGATACAACACTATTTAGAGTAGAAAGTTAGAGAATAAAATATCCAAAAAAACAAAACCAAAGTTAAAGTCTGCAAAAACAGGAAATAACAAGATATAAATAGTTTCCTCTCAAAATAACCCTAATTTTAATAAAAAAATAAATAAAAATAGGGCCTATAAGGGCTGCTCGCTCGATGGATCTTGAATCTGAGTCTTTAGACGAGAATTTTCTTGCTACAAGCCATGACATGAACTTGTCCCGATTCGGTCCTATTATCTTGGGATTCTGTGATCCCACAGTGTTGCTCCCATGTCACTCTCCCCAAATAGGAGAGGCTTCGCTTTCTACTTTGGAAACTCTGGAATTGATCTACCAAAACCATAATCAAGTTATTGCTTTGATGTGTCTAAGGTAACTCCACTATGAAATCTATTCTCACATCCATATTTGGCAATTCTGAAACACATGTCATTCTATATTCAACAAGAACAACAGCTAACATTGGTCTTTATCCTTCTAAGTTGGGTTTATATGAATCCTTTTTCTCCATTGCATCATATTGAGTGTCATATTTTCATTTAATTCTAATAAATTAAGATTATTTTTTATACAATGTGCCCAAATTTTTTTACATCTACCTTTGCCTTTATTAACATAAGGCGAATCTAAAACATCTACTCTCCTAACCGGATCATTAGATGATCGACATTTAATGTGACCAAACCATCTAAGGCAACCCTCTCTAATTTTTTGTGCCACTGGAGCTACACCAACGATATCACAGATATATTAATTTCATTCACCTAAGCATTCTCATCTCGACAACACTTAATTTAGTTTTATGCTTCTCTTTTAAATACCAACATTCTGCGCCATAGAGCATTGCAGGTCTCCCCACCATCCTATAAAATTTTCCTTCAAGTCTAAGCAGCACTTTTCTATCACACAATAGATACACGATGGATCCGAAGCATTCCTCCACTTCACCCAACCAACTTGAATTCTGCTAATAACATCCCTGTCTATATCACCATCTCATTGAACAATAAACCTGAGATATCTAAAACATTCACACCTTTTAATAATTTGATCACCCATAGTTACAACTCTGTCATTAGAGCTATTACTACTAAAATTATAGTCCATATATTCAGTTTTAGTTCTAATCAAACGAAAGTCTTTAGAATCCAAAGTAAACCTTCATAGTTTAAGTGTTTCCTGAGCTCTTTCACTAGGCTTATGCACAAGGAGGATGTCATCAACGAAAAGCATACACGAAGTACATCTTCCTGTAAATGTCCGGTAAGAGCATTCATAACTAAAGCAAAAAGATATGGGCTTAAAGCCATCATAGATTGTTATCTTAGACTCCCTACGGGCCATTTTATATTTTTCTCAATTCTCTAAGTTTTTACATTTAGGCTCTGTTTGGTGCAGCTGCAGCTTCTCAGCTTTTCAACTACAGCTGTGCTGCCCCAGGAAACTGCTGCGGGAAAGCTAGTTTTTTGTTTGGTGCAGCTGTGTGAAAATAGCTACGGTGCAGCTGTTTCTGGAAGAATGACCATGCTACCCTTGTTTGGTAAAACTGTTTAAAACAGAACTATAACAACGATATTTTTTAACTGTAACAACGATATTTTTTAACTGTAACAACAATATTTTTTATACTTTTAAATACATCTCTGGCATCTCATCAGTCACTTGGACTGTGTCATAATGCAAAAACTTTGGGAAATTTGATAGTTTCTCCAAGTAATCTGCAATATCAATGAGTGTCATCCATTTCAAAGAACCAAACAATGTCAGATTCCAAGTCAATAATAGATATTAGTGCATTTGCAATAATTTGCACCATTGAATATTGGCTTTTTGAATACTCAAATTCATGTTTATTTTCTAGATCTATATGAGAAGTTGTTTGGTCAAGCACTGACGGATGTTTAGTATGTTTTACTTCATTGAAAGCACACTGTAAAGTCATCGATGTACTGTTCAGCGTTGCAAGAAATAGTTTTTTTTTTTTAAGTCAATGAATTTATTGTTGTGTTTATTGCAATATTATTGCAGTGTTTCCCTTGTGTTATTGCTATGTTGGCGTTCCGTTTGTGTTTGAAAGTTGTATATGTGCTATATTGCTTTGATTTTGGGTATTACTCAAGGCTTTCAAAGATTTCACAAAACCGCTCACCTCATCTCCTTGTTCCCTCACCTCATCTCCTTGTTCCCTCACATGCACACAATAGATTCATACCACTGAAACCATCTTTAACCTCACCTCCAATTTCCTAGCGTCTCATTCTAGCTTATTGTCTGTCAAACTTGGACTCAAGCGAAGCAGCTCGCACCACTCCAGCCACACTCCTCTCGCCCATGTAGCAGCTGCTTAACCATCACAACAGAAAAGCCACCTATCAGATAGGATTTCACAAAACCGCTCACCTCAAGTTCTCTCTCTCAATGTTCTCCCACCATTGGTCCCATCATCGTTCAGCCTGCAGCCAACCATACTTGCCTCAACTACTTTACAAGCTACAACACTCAGTTCTCCCCATTTCTGCTTGCGCAACAAAAGCCTCTTCCTCTCCCACTTCACAACGCACAAGAAGGTTTTAAGAGTCGAGCCCATTCCATGTCTTCTCTCTCTCTCTCTGCCTTCCCACTCCTTCAATCTTTATATCTAAATCAGCCAATAAAAAATAATAAAAAATTGTTTAATCTAGCCAACTTGTCATTAATCTCTCGTTAAGGTATAATGCAATTACAAATACAAATTCAGTACCCACGCACTTCTCTTAATATTGCGATGAAATTGTATTGCTTTGAAGATCTTTTAAGGTGAAATCTCATAAACGCTTTTCTCAAATTTGTGGGGAGAGGATGTCGGGTTGCAAAAAATTAAATACCCTTACATGTTCTAACGTGTCAGGAAAAGCTTGTATATTCTGTGATTGCTTTTATAGCAGGCCTGCTTTTGCCCAAGTAACTCCCTGTCAGGGAGTTTTTGCTAAAATGTTATCAAAATTCAATCTGAATGTCGCTTAAAAAGAACAATGAAAACGACCATATTATGTTGGAGAGTGATCAAAATAAAAGTATAAATTACATGACTTGCACAGAACTTATAGAGGACTCGATAGTTTTTACTAGTTTGAATAAAACCTGTATTGAATTCAATCACTTGCACATGAATAAGAGCAAAACTTCACTCTGACTGCATAACTTAGGGCTTTAAGAAATTTGAAGCAAATAAACTTCAATGGTGAAAATGAACTAATGTATTTCTTTCTATTTATAATAGAAAATCTAATGATTGCAGGGCCAACTGCAATAATTAATAATTATATATAAACAAAATGATGATACCTTCTGTATTCAAACCATTCCTTTTCATTAAAATCACCATTCACAATATTTATATGCAAATGGAGATGGAGTTGTTTGAAAGATCTAAAATGAAAATGTGCCTATAATTGAATAAAAAATATTGGCACAAACAACAATAATTTTGGATAATTTCAGGCCTTAAAATTCACAGAAATTTCAGTCCATAGATGACCCATTTAACTCGTGCAAACACCTCATGCACATGCCTTAAAGACGATGTCAATGACAAAATTCAAGGTCATTTTGAGATACATGCATGTACCACACAACATTACGGTTGTAATCAAGCCTAGCCAGGCCGAGTGTATCATTGTTTGGACCTGACTTGGTATAATTATAAATTGTTCATGTTTGGCTTGAGTTTGTGTCGAGCTTTCATACAGTTCAAGCTTGATTTGTTTAACTTTTTCAATGTTTGAACTTGATTTGCTTATGATAACTGAACAAGTATTTAAATAAGCTAAAAATTCCTACAAGAATCTAGATTTTCATATAAAAAATTTAATAAATAATTTTACAATTCTATTTTTAGCTACTAATTTGTCGATTATGTACTCTAAAGTCTTTGAATTTTACTAATTAACTACGTAATTTTTATTGGTAGGGCTACATCAGTTCAAATTTTGTATGGAAGAAAGTGCAGGACACCTCAATGTTGAGCTGAAATAGGTGAAAGAAAGATCCTTGGAGTTGATTAAATTGATGATGCTACTGAGAAGATTAGATTAATCCGAGACAGACTGAGGGCAGTACAAGATAGATAGAGGAAATACTATGATGTCAAGCATAGACTTGTTGATTTTGAAGTTGGAGAGTTTGTTTTCATCAAGGTTAGTCCATTGAAAAGCGTGCAACGATTTGGGAAAGCAGGTAAATTGAGTCTCAGATCTGTCTGTTTTTTTTAGATTTTGGAGAAGATTGGGAATGTGGCTTACAGATTGACTTTACCATCACCTAGAGTGCGTAATATTTTTCATATTTCTTCACTAAGAAAATATATTACAGATGAAGCTAGTAGGGTGATAACAGACTCAGTTGACATTCAGTCTGATTTGACTCATATTGAGGAGCCTGAATGGATTTTGGATTATGATTTGAAGAAGCTGCGGAACAGAGAAATTTATTTTGTGAAGATTTTATGGAAGCTTGGATTGGAGAAGGATACTACTTTGGAGAAGGTTTTTGAGTTGCAAGAAAGATATCCACAGTTTTTCAATTGGGGTATGTTCACTTTCATGTTTATTTTCAAATTTCTAGAATGACATTTTTCTGAGGAGTGATTGTAATAACTGAAATAAAAGAGAAATAAAATAAATAAATAAAATAAAATAAATTGAATATGCATCAGGGCTAACCGTCGTTATGCTTAGGCTTAAGAGTCGAGAGGATCATTTTAAGAAGCAAAGCGAGGGATATCGAGTGATAGGGAGAGAGGATTGTCATGCCCTAGTTGTAGGAAGAAACGGAGGAGGAGAAATCGAAGGAAAACGTGGCAGATGTTGTTTCGAACTATGCGATAGAAGAAGAGGAGAAAGAAGAAGTTTGATACGATTGTCCTCGTCACGCGATACTTACTCGAGCGACAACGAAGGAAGGAGGATGACTTCGTGCCCTGCTATTGTGCTCAGGTGAGATGTAAGACAAGGTAGACAAAGAAGAAGGAAAGAGGAGAAATAAGCCTTACGTGCTTTGTTGGATGAACTATGACCGAAGAAGAAGAAAAGAAGTGGAGATTTCGTGATATTGTGCGTGAGGTAGCGTTGTTGAGTCTTACGAAGGAAAAGAAGCAGAGGAGAAGGCTTGTCGTGCTCTCGTAATCTGTTGCTGTGAGACATGACCTAAGGGAAAAAGGGGAGGATCGCTTACGTGCATTGGGTTAGAGCAAGGCAACCGAAGGTTTATAAGGTAATAAAGATTTTTTAATAAACTATTTTGTTTACATTGTTATAAGAATACATAAATATGTGTTATAAGGTGTGGGTGTATTTAATAATATTTTTGGCAAGTTTTATTGAAATCAGGACTAATAATTAATAATTTCATATTCGAAGGAAAATTCAGAGGAGCGTGCGAGTTGGGGGGAGGAACGTGCCAAACAACTTATAAGGTAAATCTTCATGTCAAAAATTTAGCAAATTATCCAACTGTTATATACATGTATTTATTTATATATTTAATGTTAAAATAAATTTTATTTGAATTAGGAAGTACTTGATGTTGAGGAGATTATAGTTTTGAAATTGAAAGGAAGAACGCGAAGACTTCTGCAAGGAACCCAACCAAATCTTATAAGGTAATGAATGGCTTAGTTATTTATTTTGCTATTTTAATTGTATGTCATTAGTTACAATAATTATTTTTTTTAGGAATAGAAATCTTATCAAATGATACCACAATCATTCAATATAGGCGGTTGTCCAAAGAAGTTAGTGAAATTTAAGTATTTCAGAGGTTTCCTAAGGCTAAGGTGAGTAATTATTTTCTTCTATGTATTAAATTTAAAGTTTATAAAATAAAGAATTTCCTTAATGTTATAGACATATAAATTTTATGATTGTATGCATGTTGTAGCTTAAGAATGAAATGAAATGAACAGGAAAAGGGAAAATAAATGTTTAATATCTTTAAAATGAGGTAATTTAAAGGAAAGAAAATGAAAAGTAAAGGTTTAAGTCATACAAAATTACCTCCAGATATTACTGATAGAGAATGCGATGTACTCATGCACGTTAATGGAAGTGGTAAAGTTGTGTCTTCATGTGCAATTTGAGGGTACTTTTGGGTATATTTATGAGGGTGTCTTCGAACACATTTTGAGTGTGCATTTGGGCACATTTTTTAGGATAACGGTAATTCTGTTTTGAATTTTAAAAGGACTAAAAACGGTAATTACTTAAAGTGGAATTGGAAGGGCTAAAGTTAAAGTTTTAATGAAATTTGCTGCATTTTTCTTTTTGGTTATTCATGCATAACACATCATGACATAAGAAAGTTAATGCATATTAGATTATAATTACTCGCTAAGTTGTACTTACAGTTGCAATTAATATTTTTTTTCTGGAAAAGAAAAGTTATAGATTGATATGTCCAATAAAAGAGATTTGGTCTATCAAAGAAGGACCACCACTACTTGGTATTTTCTTGATGATAGTTTTCTTTTCTTTTTCTGTCGGATTTTGATTTACTGTTCAATTTTGGATTGAAATGTTTCCATGTATGTTGCTGTTGTTGGATGATTTTAATTTTATTGCATTGGTGGATTAGTTGTTCTTTTATACGTATTGAAAGTTTTTAAAAATGTGTATTAGTTAGTTAGATGTTAATATCGTTCGATCGTAGTACCCAACTTAGTTAATTCTCAGCACCCGAGGTCGTGACATTATGGACTATAACAACTTAGGATAATAGAATTATGCGATCTTGCTTGGGTCGTCATTATTTTTCTCAAAAACAACTCTAAACTCACAATGATAAATTTCTATTTTCTAAAATATAAATTATTACTACTATATGCAGAACGAACATCGCCATAATGACTAGCTTTAATCAAAAGTGCTCTTCTATTATTGAGACGGATAATTAATCATAAATTCTTACTCTTATCGGAAATCTCGAATCTCATGTCGGAATTCCTTAAAAACGGCGAAATCTATGGATAGTGTCTTTTTTTATAATCTCATACTTCTAAAAATTTGATACGGAACATCAACAAAAATTCTCTCATCTTCGATAGGGGTTGGGGCACAAGTTTTGTGAGCTGACTGAGTTCCATTGCATATCAATGAGGCTCAATGGGAAGAATGTGCATGCAATATTCGGGCCTAAGCATATTCTTGCAGTTAATAGCGTTTATAGACCTCAAGCTTTTTTCTTTTTTCTTGAGACACATGGATCTTAATAACCTATTAGCTTACCTCTGTACAACAACAACAACAACAACAACAAAGCCTTAATCCCACTACGTGGGGTCGGCTACATGAATCTTTTTTCTCCATTGCGTCCTATTTAGTGTCATATTATCATTTAGTTCTAGTAAATTAAGATCATTTTTAATACAATAAGCCCAAGTCTTCCTAGGTCTACCTCTGCCTTTCTTAACACAAGTCGAATTTAAAACATCTACTCTCCTAATCGGATCATCTAATGGTCGACGTTTAATATGACCAAACCATCTAAGACGACTTTCTCTAATTTTGTCTGTCACAGGAGCTACACCAACCCTATCACGAATATATTCATTCCGCATTTTGTCTCTAAGTGTAAAGCCACTCATCCACCTAATCATTCTCATCTCGGCAACACTTAACTTATTATTATGCTTCTCTTTTAAAGGCCAACATTCAGCGCCATAGAGCATTGCAGGTCTCACCACCATCTTATAAAATTTTCCTTTCAGTCTTAGCGGTACTTTTCTATCACACAAAAGGCCCGAAGCATTCCTCCACTTCAACCAACCAACTTGAATTCTACTATTAACATCCCCATCTATATCACCATCGCTTTGGACAACGGACCCAAGATATCTAAATCGTTCACACCTTTTAATAATTTGATCACCCAAAGTCACACTTCTGTCACTAGAGCTATTACTACTAAAATTACATTCCATGTATTCAGTTTTAGTTCTACTTAAACGAAGGCCTTTAGACTCCAATGTAGACCTCCATAATTCAAGTTTTTCCTGGGCTTTTTCTCTCGTTTTATCCACGAGAAGAATATCATCAGCAAAAAGCATACACCAAGGTACATCCTCTTGTAGATGTCCAGTAAGACCATCCATAACTAAAGCAAAAAGATATGGGCTTAAAGTCGATCCCTGATGTAAACCAACAGAAATAGGAAAATATTTTGTCAATCCTCCTTCAGTTTGAACACAAGTAACAGCTCTAGTATACATATCTTTAATGACTTGAATATAAGTCATATCAAACATTTCTTCTCGAGAACTCTCCAAAGGATATCTCTTGGAACCTTATCGTAAGCTTTTCTAAATCAATAAAAATCAAATGTAGATTCTCCTTATTATCTCTGAACTTCTCCATCAAACCTCTCAATAAATGTATAGCTTCCATAGTAGACCTGCCAGGCATAAATCCAAATTGATTATGAGAAATTTTTGTGATGCGTCTTAACCTATGTTCAATTACCCTCTCCCATAATTTTAAAGTATGACAAATCAACTTAATTCCTCTATAATTTGCACACTCTTGTGCATCCCCTTAATTCTTAAAAATGGGGATCAAAATACTCTTCCTCCACTCCTAA